CGCGTATCGGGTATGGCGCAAGCGAACCCCCGCGTAGAGAGCCGCGTATAAGGTGTATGTTTACCGTCATGGGGACTAGTAAGTAGTATGGGGATCGCGGCACAACTGGAACTGCCACAAGCTGTCTGAGGCGGTGGTATACAGGCGAACAGGTGAGACGTCTCTGTCTCACGGGTGTTTCGTCCCTGTCTCAACGCTGTGCCACAAATGCGTCTCAGTAATGTCTCACGGACTCTCACCGATCTCTGCGTTGTCTCAGCCTGGTCACAGCAACAGTCTCACTTTGTCTCAAGGATGTCACACACACGGCACAGTCACCTTCAGAGACGTGTTTGAGACACCAGTGAGACAAATGTTCACCTCTGCGGTGTGACACTGTCGTCTCTACTACGTCTCGTCATTTCATCTCAGAGCGTCTCACACTCGTCTCACGGTGAACAAGCGGCAATCCTCGTCTCACTCGGTCTCACAACGGAATAGTTGCTGCGCCAAGGAGCGCGACTCGTCTCACTTGCTTCTGAGACTGTGCTGAGCCACGGCGTGATGAGACACGGCGCAGAACGGGTGTGAGACGCCACAAGCCGCTGCCGTTGTCAGATACCACATCTTACCATGCCATGAGCCAACCTGAGACGCAATCGTGAGACATTGGCGGGAGAGTCGAGACTATAGGCTGCGTCGTCTTTGCTAGCCAGTTGTAGCGCGGTCGGCAGAGGGGTGAGGGCGGCGACAGCATGGGTCGTGGCGGCGAGCCGGCGAGGTGGGTGCTCGTGTGGGGAGGGCAGCGGTGGCGTTGGCACAGGCGGCGCCGGCGGCGGTGTCGGCGGCGGCGTGGCGCGTGGGCGGTGGCGTGGGACCGGTTGTGGGCAACGGTGGCGAGGGTGGCGGCGGTGCCTAATCAAGGGCGCCGGCGGTATGTGGGCCAGGTGTGGCAACGGCAAGGGCGGTGGCGGTGAGTGGGGCGGCGGCGTGGGTAACGCCCGGCGACGGCTGTAAGGGCTGAGGGGGCGGCGGCGTGGGCAACGACGTGGCGAGGGAAGCAGCGTGGCGCAATGGGGTGGGCGAGGGCGGCGAGGGCGGCAGTGGCGGCGGCGGCGGCGGGGGCGGCGGCGGGGGCGGCGGCAGATGCAACGGCGCGGGCGGCGGCGTGGATGACGGCGCCGCCGCCGCCGGCGCGTGGGCGGTGGCGTGGGCGGCGGCGTGAAGAACGCGACGAACAGAGGGCGAGAGCGTAGTGCTGGGCACTAGCCCAAACCGCCCTGCCCACGAGAGCAACCGGCTACGCGCCGTTTGGGCCAGGGAGCGCGATATGAGCGCGATTAGTTGGGATCGTCCGACACGCCTCACCTCGGAGCGGTCGGTGCAAAGTACTCAGATCAAACCGAGGGCGTAGCCGCGACGAACAGAGGGCGAGAGCGTAGTGCTGGGCACTAACCCACTAACCCGAACCGCCCTGCCCGCGAGAGCAACCGGCTACGCCCGCCGTTTGCGTCTGAGAGCGCGATAGAGCAACCGGCGGCTACGCGCCGTTTGAGCCAGAGAGCGCGATTATGCTTGGGGTTCGTCTACACTCACCGAGACCCGCCACAGGCCGCACCTCAGAAACAGCCTGAGTTGAGTCTCCCCAATCGCCACTGTCTCACAATTACGTCTCAGGTTGGCTCAGCATGGTCTCTACGGACCTGAGACGACTCAGTCAAGCAGCGGCTTGTGGCGTCGCAAACCCCGCCCTGCGCCACGTCTCATTGTGGCTCAGCACTGTCTCAGACGGAAGTGAGACGACTCACTTCGCTCAGGAATTGTGACGTCTCAGCCCAGCCGTGAGACTGAGTGATACGCGGCCGAAAGAGACGAATGTGAGACGCATCTGAGACGCATCTGAGATGCACCGGCGACACTGACACTCAGCACTGTGACAGCAGAGAGACGCTTGGAGAGACGCAGAGAGACGGAAAAAATCATGCAAGTGAGACAGGGACGAAACACCCGTGAGACAGAGACGTCTCACCAAAATTTCCGTGGTATACCGTGTAGCAGGCGCTGCCGCGTGCGTGTGTTGTGGTACTGTTAGGATACACGCATGCACATGCACATGACAAGAATGTCACATAACATATGACATCCACATGCACAACATGTCCCAGTGTCCATGTGCTGCTTTTGTGAGTGATGCGTCCCCCCGCACACGTCCCCGCCCGCCCTCGCCGTCAGCACAAGCAGCAGCGCCAGCAGCTCGAGCTCGACGGAGCCGCGCGGTAGTGTACGTCCCGTCGTGCGTCCTCACGCACTCCACTCTTCTCCCTCGCTCGCCACCGCGTGCAGCAGCACGAGGCGCGCAAACTCAAAGACAGTGCCGTGAGCGTGAGGGCGCGAACCAACTGCAACTCCCCTACTCCGTCTCGCGAGCGATCGCGAAGCCCAAGACGCAGTGGCCAAAGTCGAGCGCCGCGATGCCGTTCGTGGATCCTGCCGAGTCGAGGTGGTACCGCTCGTGGATCTCGTAGAGCGAGAGGACGAGGAGCGCCGCCCGCGCGCGCGCCGCCGCGGGGAAGAGGGAGTGGCTTGCCGGCGACCACGGCGCCGCCGCCCGCCGGATCAGCGCCGCCGCCTCGCCCTCGCCGCCCGCGGCGCGCCGCAGCGGCGTCGGCTCGCCCTCGTGCAGGCTTGCGCCGCTGCGCAGGAGGGAGGTGGCGCGGGCGGCGGTGAGGGTCTCAAGGTGCGCGAGCGGCGTCCAGCCGCGGCTGGCGACCAGCCAAGCGGCGAGGTCGGCGTGGCCGCGGCGGGTTGCAGCCTCCTCGGGCGTGCCAAAGGGCGTTGCGGCGCGGGAGGCGCCATAGGAGGAGAGGAGCTTGGCGACCTCGAGGTGGCCCTGGTGACACGCGATGCGCAGCGGCGTGGCACCATTCTGCTTGGCTTGGTCGACCGCTGCGCCGGCCTCGAGAAGCAGCCGGGCGATGTCGAGGTGGCCCTTCTTGCACGAGGCATACAGCGGCGTGGCGCCATCCTTGGCTTGGTTGACCGCCGCGCCAGCTTCGAGAAGCAGCCGGGCGATCTCGAGGCGGCCCTTCCGGCACGCCATGTACAGCGGCGTGGCGCCGTCATCTTTGGCTCGGTTCATCGCCGCGCCAGCCTCGAGGAGCAGCCGGGCGATCTCGAGATGGCCCTTATCGCACGCAACGTACAGCGGCGAGAAGCCTCCGTCAGCAGCTTGGTTGACCGCCGCGCTGGCCTCGAGGAGCAGCCGGGCGATCTCGAGGTGGCCCTTCCGGCACGCGACAAATAGCGGAGTGGCGCCGTTCTCCCTGGCTTGGTTGACCGCCGCGCTGGCCTCGAGGAGCAGCCGGGCGATCTCGAGGTGGCCCCTCTCGCACGCAACGTACAGCGGCGAGAAGCCGCCAACCTCCGCTTGGTTGACTGCCGCGCTGGCCTCTAGGAGCAGCCGGGAGACCTCGAGGTGGCCCTTGTAGCACGCGATGAACAGCGGCGTGGCGCCGTCATCCTTGGCTTGGTTGACCGCCGCGCCGGCCTCAAGGAGCAGCCGGGCGATCTCGAGGTGGCCTTCCCGGCACGCCCTGCACAGCGGCGTGACGCCGTACTCCATGGCTTGGTTGAGCGCCGCGCCGGCCTCGAGAAGCAGCCGAGCGACGTCGAGGTGGCCCTTCTCGCACGCAACGTCCAGCTCGCCAACCGCCGCATGGTTGACTGCCGCGCTGGCCTCATGGAGCAGCCGCACGCACTCGAGGTGGCCCTCCTGGCACGCGATGAACATCGCGGTGGCGCCGCCGCCAGTCGTCGCCCCGACGCTCGCGCCGCCTTCGAGCAGCAGCCGCACCGCCTCGGCCTGCCCGTGACGCGCGGCCCAGGTCAGCAGCGTGTCCTGCTTCAAAGTGTCGAGCCGCGCGTCGAGCTGGGCCGCGAGCGACGTGCCGCGCGTCCGCCGCCCAGAGAGGACGGCGCGCAGCCAGGCCAGGTCGCCCCGAGCCAGGTCGGCGAGTCGGGTTGGGCTCACCCCGCAGCAAGGTGAAATTGCCCTTGGCGAGGTGGCGCCGCTCATGCCGCCAGAAGAGAAGAATTCTGTCGCGCTCTGCGCGAGCGCGGGTGGCCCCCTCCCCGCCCTTGGCGCTTGGGCTTGGCCGCCGGGCGGACGACCGGACCGCGGCTTGGCGCGGCGAGCGAGGCCGACCACGGGGATGGGGGCCGGTGGTGATGGATAGCGTTCGTGTTGTTGGGCTCATGAACGGGAGGGCGGCACCCCCCGGTGGCGCTCCGGCCGGTGTGCGCTTGGGCACGTGCAGTTGGATTCGGGTACTTTGCTGGTATGGTATCTGTAAATAAGTGGAGTATTTACTTTCACACCCCTTGGGGTGTTCACGACCACTTGCGGTCATTACGCACTTGTGCGTTCACGCCCCTTGCGGCGATCGTTTCACAGTCTCATCAACCGTTCAAGGAAACTAAAATACGCCAACCCCCCCTCTCAAGGAACTCCGGACGACGCCAGCCCTCTTGTGGCTTCGACGCACACGCTACTTCAGCCACAGAGTCTAGGACAGGTCCATTAACCCCTAAACGGCTACCGAAACGGGGTGCCCGGAAGGGCGATATCACGGCGGCCTAACTGTGCCTCCGTGCGCTCGCCACATACCCCCTGCTGCCCGAGGGTCGTGTTAGCACTTTATTGGGCACATACAGAGGCGGTGGGAAGCCACCACGTTCCCTTCAAATTTCCCGCCACCGAGCTCCGGAGCGCGCTCTGCACGAGCTCCTGGGACGCGGTTTCGTCTTTCGATCCCAGACGGTCGTCGCACGTCGGCGCCCCAGTGAGGTCCGCCGTCATAGGTGTAGCACGCTACTAGACACACTGCCTCCAAGTTGAGCGGTGGAAAATTGTGACGAAGCCACGCACCGAGGCGCCGGCGTCCCTCTGGCAATCTGCCACCGACAGCAACACGCCTTTGATCACCGGCTGCTTGCGCTCCGCATACTCTCCAGAAGCTGTTGGTTGTGTGGCTGGTGATACTTCTATCAGCCTTCCTCATGCACAATGTTGCCGTTGAGCTACGAGGCTGCAACCCGTCGTCATTTGAGTTTGCTGCCAGCCACACACAGCGCGTTCCTGCTGCACGAATGGTTGGACAGGTGTGAACAACACCTCGTGGGGGCGGCACCGCAGGCGTCCATTGAGGGGTCCAGGTGATAGCCCTGGGCGGACAATCCATACGCCTAGTTGGACTTCAGATCGCCCGATCGCGTCCCGGTGAACTGACGTCGGATTTGTGACGCCGCCGCACCGCGCCGCGGCCGGGGGCCCTCCGGAGGCTGAGGATGGCCGTGGCGGACCGAGACGAGCTCTGGGAGGTAAAGTGTCAGTGTATATATTGTAGAGGCTGACCACGTGCACAATATCTCTCACTCTAGCTAAGCCAGGGGAGGCTATTCTGGGCGTCCACACGGCTTGCACTGGTGACCCTCGCGACAAAGCGAGCGCGTCCGGCAGAGCGACTGAAGAATCGAGGACAGAGTCACAAATCCCGCTTGTTGTGCATGTTTTGAGGTCGGACAGTGCTGATGTCTTCTCCACGCAGCAGCCGACGCCACCAGGCCTCGGTAGCTGAGCAGCAGGAGCCTCCTCGCTGCTGGCAGAGTTGCGCCTCTGTTTGCCGCCGCTAAGAGATCGTTGTTGCGGGAATCCAGGGAATCTAAAGGAATCTAGAATCTGTGGGTCCGAGATTCGATCTGGGACCTGAGCCGCTCGGGACCAGCTGCACATGACTCGGGGCCACTGCCATGTCGCAGACGACTGCTGGATCGGCCGTCGCTGCGACCAGCCGCATCAGCTTTCTCTTTCACAGAATTGGCGAAGTTCCCATATGGGAACCACAGCCGTTTAGGGGTTTTAAGACTTTTCAGTCGTGGGGGTGGCTTTTGTTATTCCTTTCCGGTTTTATCATGACCGACCACAACCACGTCCGCCGTGGTTGCCACTACCACGTCCGCCGTGGTTACGTTCGACTCTATGAGTCGTGGTTCGACTCTATGAGTCGCTGGTTCGATCATGAGTTGCCACAACCACGCCCGACGTGGTTATGGTTGCCACGCCCGTTCCCCCCTGGTTCGTCAAGCGCCCGCCGTTCAAGTTCGGCGATTCACATTCATGGGGGAGCGGGAGGTGATTACCCCGTGTGTGGGTGTGAACAGGAATATGCCACCCTGAGAACGAGCAGGCGATCATTCTTTCTTTCTCTTTTTTCACGGAGGAGAGAGAGTGTGTGAAGATAGCGAGGTGGCATGGAGGTCGAGAGACTGGCAGACTGCGAAGAGTAGGAAGAGGCAAGACGTCGAAGGCAGACGCCCAAGGGTAGGCGCCGACACTTTCTTTTGTTTTGCTCATACAGGAAACCAGTTGCTGCAGACTAGCGCGCAGCGCTTTGTGATAATAGCTCTGAAGGTCCGTGAAAGCGCCCGCCGCTGAACCGCCCGCCGCTGTCACGAAGTTGGCTTGCGCCGCTCGCGGTTACGGCCGCAGCTCCGCTCGATGGCTCTCGCTGTCAGCTCTTGGAACACCTTTGCTCAGGGTGTGCCATCGTCCTCTCCGCTGTCACCGCCCGCGTTCGCATGCGCCGACAGCCAGTCTTGGTCGGATGATTGGGGCGATGGCTGTGACTGGTACGCAGACAACGATCCCGGCTGCACTGAGTACGATGATCACGGCCAGCAGGCAAACTGCCTGTCCACCTGCGGAAGGTGCTCGCCTCCGCAACTGCCACCGTCTCCACCCCTGCCGCCATCGCGGCCGTCTCCACCAGTGCTTCCGTCGCCGTCGCCGTTATCGCCGTCTCCACCAGCTTCGCCGCCTCCACCACTCCCGCCGCGTGTGCCATCGTCCTCTCCGCTGTCACCGCCCGCGTTCGCATGCGCCGACAGCCCGTCTTGGTCGGATGATTGGGGCGATGGCTGTGACTGGTACGCAGACAACGATCCCGGCTGCACTGAGTACGATGATCACGGCCAGCAGGCAAACTGCCTGTCCACCTGCGGAAGGTGCTCGCCTCCGCAACTGCCACCGTCTCCACCCCTGCCGCCATCGCGGCCGTCTCCACCAGTGCTTCCGTCGCCGTCGCCGTTATCGCCGTCTCCACCAGCTTCGCCGCCTCCACCACTCCCGCCGCCGTTCGTGATCACCGGGGGCTGTAGTGCTCTAAGCGGCGTCCTCGACCACGTCGAGTATGTCGCTGCTGGCTACACCGCCTTGGGATCGCCGTTCTACCGCGGCACGCGGCTACCGACTCCTTCGGCGATCGAAAGGGGGGGCCTGGCTGCTGCAGGCTGCGTTTACTGGGATCCCGACTGTGACGGCGACAGTTCCTCAGCCCGCTGGATCGTGGATGATCGATGCCCGAACACTACCGCCTCCAACGACCTCGATGGCGATGGAGGTTGTAGCTACTACGCCCGCATCGACTCTGACGACTCCTCCTCGCCGCCGCTAGGCGCGGAAACCTGGCGGGCCTACTGCGACAGTGCCTGGACAGACAATGTCCTGACACTGGCTCACCCATCCCCGGCTCCGCCGTCTCTGCCGTCTCCGCCATCGTCTCCACCAACGCCTCCGACTTCGCCGCCGCCGCCGTCGTCGCCACCCCTGCCTCCGTCGTCGCCGCCGCCGCCGCCGTCACCACCAACGCCACCGCCGTCGCCGTTGCTGCCATTCCTCGCCGGCGAGGTCCTGGCCTTCTTGCCGGAAGACATTCAGAAAGAGATCAACAGAACCGCAGCGGGTGGCCACGCACGAGTCTACCTCGTGCCAGGCACCCGCTACCGCTTTCACAAACCGATCACCTGCGACAGCAACATCCGCGTCTCGGTCCGGAGCAGCAGGGAGGGCGCGACGCTCGACGGCGAGAAGCACTCCAACATGTTTCGCATCATGGGCGGCTGCGTCCTCGATCTGGAGGCGCTGCACTTCGTGGACGGAAGAAGTCGTTACCATGGAGGCGCAATTTTTGCTTATGGCGCCGGCAACATATCGATGAGGGACGTTTCATTTACGGGCTGCGAAGCTGACAACGGGGCGCGGCGCTGCACGCCCATCGCATGGTCTCATCCGACGCTCTCGCTCCCTAACACCCGCTGCTGCACGTCAGGTCGGCGGCGCTGTTTACGTAACAGACAGCAGAGACCTCTCGGTTGTTGGTGCAACTTTCACTCGGTGCAAGGCTAACTCGGTGCGCCTCGCCCACAATCCCCTCCTCCACCCGGGTAGGTTGAATGTGCGCATGGGGAGGGACGCTTGCACACGCTTCGTTTTCGCCGCTGCCCTCGTGCAGGGTGGCGCTATGGACGTGACGAGCAGCCGCGACCTCTCGATTTCTGCTACTACCTTCTTCCAGTGCGAGGCTGAAGCTTTTGGCGGCGCTATTCACGCGTACGACGTCGACACCGTCTCGGCAGAGGGCGCCAGTTTTATCGGCTGCACGGCTCATCAATCCAGTCTGTACACCGATCAGATCGAGCGCCTGGTCCTCACCGACTCGCGCTTTGTCGACAACGTTGCAGCAATAGCAGCTGCAATCTACTTCACCTCCAGCGTCGCTGTCTCCGACTCGACCCTCAGCAACACGACCTTCCTCGGCAACACCGCGCTAGGCAATGTCACAATCCTCGCCGCCTCGCCTCTAACGTGGGATTGCCCGCTCGGCTCCTGGATGCCGAATGTCGGGCAGTTCTTCGGCGACATGACTCGTTGCACAGAGCTTTGTTCCGAGGGCCACTACGGGAATGTGTCCGACCATTTCACGTCCAGCTGCACCGGCCCCTGCTGGCCAGGCCACTTCTGTCCGGAGGGAACCGTCGTGCCTCAAAGTTGCCCTGCCGGCACTCGCATGCCAAACAGGCGGGCTGCAAGTGAGTCCGACTGCATGATGTGCGCCCCCGGCACGTTCCAACAGGCAGAGGGCTCAACAGAGTGCGAGCCGTGCCCAGCCGGCACCTTCTCGCTTGAGGATGGCGCAACGAGTTGTGAGTTATGTCCGGCGGGTGGCTACTGCGACGAGGCTGGCGCCGCCACGAGCACAATCTGGAAGGCGTGCCCTGCTGGCTCTTTCAACGAGCATCGTGGCTCAAGCTCACCTGCCTCCTGCGTTGCTTGCCCCCTCGGTACCTCGAGCCCGAATCTGGGTGCAAACTCGAGCAGGAGCTGCGAGCTGTGCGGAGCCGAGGCGTACGCGCCCTCGCCCAAGAGCGAATGCAAGCCGTGCCCCCACCCGCTGCTTAGCAGCGAGGGCAGCACCACCTGCTCCGTCTGCAAGGCCGGCTACTACCTGCAGGACCGGAGCGCTGACCCGGCCGAAATCTTCGAGGCACCCACCGAGCACTGCAACAGCTGCCCAACAGACGGGGAGTGCGGCGCCGGCACCACGCTCGAAACCCTCAGGGTCCCACGTGGCTACTGGCGCGCGAGCCGCAGCAGCACCATACTCTACAAGTGCCGCAGTTTCGGGGGCGGCGACTCATCCGGCAGGAAGCGCTGCGCTGGTGGGGACGAGGCCGGAACGGGCGGAGATGGGTATTGTGAAGATGGATTCGCCGGCCCCGAGTGCCAGCTCTGTAACACCTCCAACCACCACCTTGTCGATGGAAAAGAGTGCGAGGAGTGCCTCGATCGTGCGGTCGCAGTGGGCCGCCTCATCGCTCTCGCCCTTGGCGTCGCCATCGCGTGCGGCTTGGTGGCTTTGGCCCACTCTATGCAGAGTTGGCGGCAGCGGCGCTACGTCGGCGCTGCTCTGCGATGCTCCGACCGCCTGGTTGCTTGGTGCGCCGCTATTGGCCTGCAGCCTAAGATCAAGATCCTGCTCGGCTTCTACCAAGTGTGTCTCGTCCTCGACACAGTCTACTCGGCACGGCTGCCGGACAAGTACACGCACTGGACCGACAAACTGAGCGACGTGATCTCGATCGACTGGACGGCCCTCTTCCTTCCTGTGCAGTGCGTGCCGTACGAGCTCCGACTCCTCGCGCTGGCCCTCTCGCCCGTCGGCCTCGTCGCGTTGCTCCTGCTCGTGGGCGTCTGCATGCGCTTGAGGCGCTGGCTTGCGGCCTCGGAGCGCCCGCGAGTCAGAGATGCCGTGCGCCGTGGCATCCTCGACCTCACGCCGCCAAGCCTCGTCCTCATCTTTTGCTTTGTGCCGTCTGTGAGCAGCTTCATTTTCCGCGCGTGGTCGTGCCAGGCGTACGTCAAATCGTCTCAGGGCGCGGATCAAGATCTGATCAAGTACATGAAGCAAGACGCCAGCGTGGTTTGCAGCACCAGCGATCATGATTCGATCAAGGCCATCGCCGGCGTGCTTATCGCTCTCTGGCCGCTCGGATCACTGCTCGTGTACACGTCGCTCCTCGTCCTCATCTACAAGCCGCTCCACCGGAAAACTCCAAGCGCGCTGTCGCGAGCCACCGCCTTTCTACATAGGGAGTACGAGATCCGTTGGTACTATTGGGAGGCGCTCGAGTTGCTGCGCAAGATTGTCCTCACCGGCGTGGTCGCGCTCATCCCGGAGAAGAACGCCTTTTTGCGTCTTGTGGTGGCAACACTGGTATGCTCATGCTATGCTGTCGGACTCGCAGTCGCGAAGCCATACAAGCGGATTGAAGACGACGTCCTGGCCGTAGCGACAAACCTCGTGCTCCTTCTCGTCTTCCTGGGTGCGAGCTGGATCACCCTCTTCGACGCCATCGACGAGGAAGCGCCTGGAAAGGCGGACGACATCATGGGCTGGCCTAACTCCGACGCGATCGTCGTCCCGATGTCGATTCTCATCGGCCTTGCGTTCGCCCTCTTTCTCACGGGCGCCATCACTGCGGCTCGCCGCGTCGCCCAGATCCCGACGATTCGGCTAGTCTCGACCAATCATCCCCCCGAGCTGACCCTCGCCAAAGGCCTGACGTGGCATCTATTCAACAGCCACATTTGGAGCACGGGGCAGGATGCCGTCGCCGTCATCAAGAAAAATCTCATGTTGCTGCTCCCCGGCGTCCAAGTGTTCTTGGATGTGGATGATCTCGAGGAAATCGGGGCGCTGGAGGAATACATCAAACGCTCGCAAGCAATCCTCTTCTTCCTGTCGAAGGGGTACTTTCGCTCGAAAAACTGCCTGCGTGAGGTTCGCTCGGCGCTCCAGCTCAAGAAGCCGATCATTCTCGTGCAAGAGGCAGACCCAGGAAAGGGCGGGGGATTGCTCGAGGAGCTGCGAGCTGATAGCCCTGCAGACCTCCAGCCGGCCATCTTTGACGTGGGCTGGCCGTTGGTGGTCTGGCACCGAATCGTAGAGTTCCAGTACGTCTCGCTCAAGATGATCTCGGAGGCCCTGCTCTTGCAAACGCCCCACTACGCGTTGGCAAAGACGCTCCCGCTCGCCGTGCCGGGCGAGTTGACTCGCCAGAACCTCGCATTCGCAAAAGCCGTCGTGCTCTGGGCCTCGCCCGCCAATCCCGGCGCAAAAGACGTGGCCAACCAGCTCGCCACCTCCTACACTGGCCTTCGTGTTTGTAGTGCGGGGGAGGCACCGAACCGGCCTCCGCCCCTCCCACGGGGACTGTCATCGCTCAAATCGATGCGGCGGGCTGGGCTTAGCCGGAATCCGCCCAGCGAACTGCGACCGACCCACATGTTGCTGTACCTGTGCGAAGAGACCTGGTCTGACGATTATCTGGCGGAGCAGGTCGAGGCGGTACTGAGAGGAAGCCGGGCCGCTCAGGTGGAGCTGACACGGGAGAGCTGACACGTGTGCACTCACTGATAGGTCAAGGAGGCGAAGGAGGCAGGACTTCCGATAGTGCTGGCGCACGAGAACGATCCAGAAGCGGGAGGCTGCGTGTTCGCGCGCTTTTTCGAAACCACGCCGCAGGAGCTCATACAGAGCGGCCTTTTCGACAACCTCGCCATCCCTTGCTTCCCCGGGCCGCATCACACGGCACCGTTGCCTGCTCGGTTGCCCCGTCCCTGTCTTTGCGGATGGATGATGCGGTGTTGACACCATAGGTGTCGCTCGCGCTCTTGGCCAAGGCGCTCGGCGCCACGCCCCGGCATGGAGAGGGCCGCGGTTTCTCCGTCCGGACCGGGCTGCTCGCCCGGGCTCGCAGCCGGGGCTTTGCCTCACCCTCAGCGTCGGTCGAGGCTGACGGTGACGCGAGCTTGTCCGTGCGGTTTGCGCGCAGAACCAGAAGACGCCCGTCGGCGGTGCAGGCTGAGACTGAGCCTCTACCAGCAATTTAATTTTAAAATGATGTTGGAACGCGAAAGAGAGATATGGCAGACGCGAGAGGCGAGACGCGGACGGACCCCCCACGCACACACAGCTCACACATAGGCCAGCCACATTGGAGAGATCTGATGGCCTCACTCGAAGATCCAGCACGAAGAGGCCGAAGCCGCGAACCGGCTGAGAAAGCGCAGAACGAGAGAGCGGGAGAGAAGGTTAAAGGGAAACTGGCCGCGAATCTGTCAGGCAAGACATGGCCGGCCGACAAAGCGCAAGGGCAGCGAAGCGCTACCCAATGGCAAACGCCATGGGTAGGCGATGGCTCACCGCAACCGCAGTGTGGTTGACACGATGCAGTGGTCGCTGGGGAAGGTGAGCGTCGGAATGCTCGTGCCTACTCGAGAAAGCGTCGGGGCACTCCTGGGGGTGAGCGGCGGTCGGGCTCTCGCGACGCGATGACGGCGGGGAAGGCCTTCGACGTAGCTCCCCTGCCCCGTGTTGTCGCGCGCGCACGCGCCCGCGCCCTCAAACGCGCCCTCCGAGTAGAGGAGGAAGTCCTTCGGGTTGTTGTCGGCGAGGCTGGAGGTGGCGCGCTCGGCGTAGCGCACCGCCTTGTTGAGTTGCGGCTGCAGGTAGGTGCGCGCGTTGTAGGTCGTCTGCCAGCCTTCGGGCGGCCTACAGAGAAGAGGTCCGCGGCACTCCGGAGATCGCCCCGGCATGAGGGCCGTTGCCCGAACCCTTCCGGTGAGCTCGCCCCTGCCACGAGTGCGCGAGCGGCGCCTCACCCGACGCGCACTCGGCCACAAAGTCGCCTAGAGGCGCACGCGGCTCGGCGTCGGCCACGAGGGCTCGCGCGTGCCGCGTGCTCCCTGCCACCGCGCGGGTCGCCGACGAACTTCTTGCCGCCCTTTGGGTCGCGTGTCAGGTAGGTGTTCGCGTCGATGCCCACGAGGAGGGGAAGGCCCGCCGCCTGCGGGAGGATGGCAGGAGAGTCTTCACCCGCGTCTTGCGGCCTGAGACCGCAGCACAGGGCCAACTGCTACATTAGATCTCAACACCGAATGTCTCGCTCGAGGAGGTCTGAGGAGGTCTGAGAACCGTCTGAGAACCGTCTGAGGATAAACGCGCCTGCTGGCGCAGCGCGCTCACCACCGGCGTCGACGCGAGGCCGTTCGTGTCGCCGTGGAACGACGCGAGGAGCAGCTCGGTGGCGCCGCCTTCGCCGCCGAGCTCAAGCCTGGCGCGGAAGACGCAGAGGTCGCCCTCTGCCACCGGTGCGCCTGACCACTCAATCGTCCCTCATCAGCGACCCAAGAGTATTCCACCCCCGGTCGTCCCCCGCCGCTGCGGCGCACCTACTCTCCAACCCGCGTCGCGCTCCCGGCGACCACATCCCTCTACCGCGGCCCCTGCGCCCCGTCGCAAGCGCGCCACTCAGCGCCTCGGCGCCCAGCTCGACCTCTAACAGCGCCTCGCCCGCCGGGCCGGCGAGCAGGCGCTTCGCGACGAGGATGAGCGAGTTCTGGTCGCGCACCGCGTCGCAGTCGCGTGGCTCGAGCACCTCACGGAAAGAGCGCGGAGATGTCTCGGGACGGTCTCGGAGCGGTCTCTCGGGGGCGCCTCGGAGGCAGATCGGAGGGGCGCCCCGGGAAGCGTCTTCGCAGCGTCTCGCGCGACTCAAGCGCGCCTCGAACCGCTCGGCGAGGGCGGGCGCGGCGCGCAGCGCTGTCACGAGCGCGCCACTCACCTCCTGCAGGAAGAGGAGGTCGACGTCGGCGTACCTGCCGCACGCGTCCAGGATTCGCGTCCAAGAACGTGCCACCTTCTTGCTGGGTGGGGCGGTGCCGGCCGGTATATGAGAGCCATCTTGCACTTCCACACATAACGATGTGGGGGCCACGGAGCGCACATGAGTACTGACTACCGACTGCGCGTTGCCGACTAGCCCGCGCACTCTGGCCGCTGCAGCACGTCGATCGTGCGCTGCGCCTGGGAGGTGGCAGATGAGCCATGAGCCAAGATGGAGCCGAGATGGGCCGAGATGCGCCGAGATGGGCCGAGATGGGACGAGATGCTCCGAGATGCGCCGAGATGTGTCCAACCGCGCGCTGCGCCTTGGAGACGACGAGCGCCTCGCAGATGCTCATCTTGAGCTCGTGCCACGCGCCTGCGGGAGGCAGCGAGCGGGCGCGTGTCGGGTTCGCTCCTGCGGCTCGCCTTTTGGGAGTCGCCCTCGGGAGGCTCGTGCCGCGCACCAGGAGAGAGCTGGTTGAGCAGGCCGACCTAGAGCGCGACTCAGGACATCATCCATGACACGTCCATGGCACGGCCACGACATGTTGCGAGCAGGCCGGCCTAGGGCGCGACTCGCGGGCGCGTCGTGGACGTGTTCTGGACGTGTTCTGCTTTGTGGAGCGGGCGGACGCAGCGGCCCGGCCAGGATCGCGTGAACAGGGAAGTGTCTAGGAAGTGTCTAGGAAGTGTCTAGAGGCCCGGCCAGGATCGCGTCAAAGATCGCGAGGCAGAGCAGCTGCAGCGGCAGCGAGATGGCCTCTTCCGCCTCGGAGAGGGCGGGGTACCTGCTCACAGCTCGTGCCGTGAACGTCGTCTCGTTCGCAGTCCTCCCTTGCGGAGTGCGCCAGAGTGCTCGCGAGTGCTGGAGAGCGCTCTGGAGTGCTCTCGGAGTGCGCCAGAGTGTGGAGGGGGCGGCGGTACTTGGAGCGCTTGATCGGCGAGAGCATGGCGCACGGCAGGCGCGGCGCCGCGGCGCCCGACTTGGCCTAGAAGAGCAGCGGTCGGGCGTCTCGGAGGTGTGCTGGAGGTCTTGGCAGAGTCGGAACTGTGTCGGATATGGCGGAGAGATATCGTGGGTGTCTTTGAGGCGTCTCGGAGGCGTTCTCGCCTTGACGAGCAGCGGCGCCTCGAAGAAGAAGGCGTGCCACTGCGCAAACCACGCGTCTCCGTCGGGCATCGGCACGTCGTAGTTGTTGATGACGGTGGGGCGGCAGACGGTGCGCCCGTCCTCCGTGTTGATGGTGTTTGTGAAGCGGTCAGGCATCGACGCCAGCCGCTTGGCGCCGATCTCCTTGTCCTTGAGAAAGCCAGACACGATCGGCCGGCTGGCGAGGTCGCTCTCCCAAACCTCCTCGACGGCATCGATCCCCGCCCACCCCTGCGCCGCCATCGAGGCCTTGAGCTTCTCGAACATGGGCTGCGTGAAGACAGAGCGAACGGGCACATCGCGCTCGCCTGGCGCGTCGATCAGCTCGCCCACCGCCACCATGAGCTGCTCGTACCTGCGGCGGACGAGAGGGCGGCGTGGTGAGGGTGGCGGCGCAGCAGGCGCGGCGGCGGCAGAGGCGGCGGCAGTGGCAGAGGCGGTGTGATGGTGGTGGCGGGAAATCACCGAGGGTCGGCGAGCGTGGTGTAGTACTCGAATGGGTTGTTGTTGACTGCGGCGACGTTCCATGAAGCGAGGCGTACGGACGCTCCGCGGCGCGAGAGGAGCCCACCCATGTACAACAACGACCGAGACGTCGAGAGACGGTCCGATGGTTGGGAGCGAGATGGTGGCTGCAGCTGGAGAGATGCAGGCAGCGTCGTTTCTTTTGGAGTTACACGACGGAGTTTTGTTGTAAAATTCTTTTGGAGTGAGGGGACCTTGGTGCCTCACCCGTCATATGCGAGAAATGCACTTGTAATGAGTGCGTTTGCGACGGGTTGTTTCTCTTCTGTGCTTTAACGCACTCGATTGACGGCGCTCCTCCTCCTCCTCCTCCCTCCTCCTCAGCACGCAGCAGCCCCAGCATCCTCCAGCTCCTCGCCCTCGACAGCCACACCGTCCGGCGCGCTAGCCGCGTGAGTCGCGAGGGCGACGGCGCGCGCACGCAGCGAGCGCAGCTGAGCCTCGGGCAGCGTGAGCCGCCTGGTGGCATCGTCGTAATCGAACTCAACGAACCCGAGCATCGCAGTCGCTCGGTACTGCATGTCCTGCCCGTGGCTAACTCTGCCATCGAACGTGTACGAGCACGGCGCCGTCCGCCCGTACCATAGCAGTAGGATCTGCACCTCCTGCTCGGCCGCGGCCGCTCGCACATCGATCCCGCCATACGCAGCGTGCTCAAGCTTTCGTGTGGCCAGGCACTTGCACGTGATGCGCTGCGTCTTTCCGAACCGGATCACGCTCGCGCCACTTGTGGTGCGGAACAGGAAGGCGACGTCATCACCGTACGTGAGCAAGCCCGCACGTCGGCGCTCGCGGTCGCGCTCACGCGTCTTGCTGCCCGGCTGTAGCACGTCCCGCTTGCAGCGACTGCACATACATCGGGCGTCACTCTTCGTTGGTGTGCCATCCGGACACCGACCGAAGTTGGAGCCGACGCAGCGGCAAACACCTCTCCATCTGCTAACAGAGCAGCTCTCGCAGCACGCGTACCCGCAATCGGCGCACTGCTCCAGCTCGGCGGGTCCCTCCCAGTCCCAAATGAGCTGCTCACAGCCGTCGCATCTGCGGTGCAGGTTGCTGGGCTTCACCGCGAGCGGTGCCGGAGACGCATCGAGCCGCACGCCGTGCCGTCCCTTGGAATCGTCCCACGAGAGCACACGGCCCTTGCGCCCGTTCAGATCAGCGCGCGATAGGCCATGCAGCTGCACCAGGCTGCCTATTGGCAGCGGCATGCGGAAAAAGGCAGATGGGGGGGGGGGGGGGGCGTTTTCGTCGGCGGCGGCTGGCCGCACTCTTCACAGCCTGTTATTGAGAAGAAAATACCTTGGGTGTGCGCTGGTCTGTGAGAGGTTGAGGCGGAATCGGATCGAGCCCATGCAACCGATTTACAAAAGAAAGACAGTCTGCGTGTCTGCCTTGTACTTACAGCTCACTCACACACCGACCGACGCACAGACAGCTCACATAGATAGTCCAACCAAAAGCCGGCCGGTGTACGGTGGGCTCGAGGCGGTGGGAGGGTGCTAGTATGAGGCCGGCCGCGGAGGCTCTTGCGCAAGCGGTTAAGAAAGACAGCTCTGACCTTTGTAGACCCCTGGCTGGCTGGGCGAGCGGTGGGTGGGTGGGTGGGTGGGTGGTGGGTGGATGGAGAGGGCCCGCCCGGTCTGCCGGCGCCAAACCGCATCCCTCCCATCGGTGGCGGGCAGGTTCCCAGACCGCAGACGACCCGCCTTAACGCTTAAGTAAGGTTAAGTCGGCCTGGCCGTTGGAATGGCCAAGGTGCAGTTTCGACACGGGCTGCGGAAGGATATTTAAATGAACTCGGGGGCACGGGACGCGGCACAAAGCAAACGGGGCACAAACGCCAGGCTACAAAGAGAGAGAGAGAGAGAGAGAGGCGTAGGGCCCCTAGGGGCCTAGAGAACACACGCCCTCTCCCTTTTCTCCCAGTAAGCTAAAGGTACGTAAGTGCTCAAGCTCTCAAAGACGGGGACGCACGTAGTGCGTCGGAAGGAGGACACGTCGACAAACAAGGAAGGGCGGACCGCCAAACTCGCACGTTCCCGACCAAAACAGATGTGTATATGCTCGCCCGCGCCAGCCGCGTCAGCCGCGTCAGCCGCGCCAGCCGCGCCAGCCACGCCAGCCGCGCCAGCATCGACGCGGCCTCGGAGCGCAAGTCCCGCGTCAGCGCGATCTTCCAGCGCGCCGTCGGCCGCCTGCGTGAGGAGCAGGTGGCCGAGGAGCAGCTGAACGCGACGTGGGACGAGGAGCGGGGGCACCAGATCATGCAGCAGCGGCAGCGCACCGGCGACGAGGTGCTCTACAGATATCGCGCAAGCCGCGTGAGCGCTGCGGCCGCGGAGCCGACCCCTCCGCCGCAGCCGGCGGCCAAGGCGCCCTCGCTGCTCCGGACCGTGACGTCCTTCATGCTCTCGTCACGAAACAAGGCGGAGGCGGCACATGCCTGAGCCATCCTGCTTCTGCCGACCCGTACCCGCCTCCGAAGCAGCTGCCACGGCCACCGCCGCCAAGCCACCGCTCTGACCGCCTTTGACGCGCCGCCTCCTTCCGCTTGCACCGCCCCAACCCGCCGCCTCTTCCGTGGAACCACGCAAAGGAAGACCCGTGTGTGCGCCATGGCCTCGCGCCCAGAATAGCACGGGGACCCTCAGGGGTTGCTGTTGACTAACTCTGTGCTCCGGTTGTGCGACTACCCCACATGGGTAGCCCTGTCTAGTCATTCATTCCAGTGAATGAATCTCCTCGTCCGGAGTGGACGCGTCCCTCGTTGGGCCGCCGACAAGAAGGTCGTTTTTTTTTGCATTTGGTTAGGTCTTAGGTGCCGTTTGGCATTTTGGAAGACGGAAAAGGGGGCGAATATGGGCGGCCGCGAGCATGTACCTCAAAGTGTGTCGCATGTGCGAGAGTCAACCGTAACGTATTTTCATCCCTCGAGCGCCCCGATCGCCTCCGTCACCGCGGCCACGAGCCGCGACGCCTCCTCCTCGCTGCGTGGCCCGTCCCTCCGCCACCTCGCCGCGTCGTGGTGCCGCGCCGCGTTCGCCCAGATGCGCAGCGAGTGCAGCTGGCTCCGCAGCTCGGTCGGCAGGCCGCACTCGCGGTGCCAAAGGTTGATGCGCTCCTCGAAGCCGTCGGGCGCCGCCGCAGAGCGCGAGGCGTACACGGCGTCGAGGCGCGGCATCAGCGTCTTGAAGGCGAGCATCATGTTGTCCTGGATGCGCGCCTGCGCGTCGCCGGACGTGCGCATGGTTGCTGCGCACCTGCACCGAGAGCGGCGAAGGCTCGTAGCCGGTGGTATGGGCGGCGGCTGTGGCGGCCTCGACTCTTAGTGCCAGCGCAGCCTCCTCCATTCCCGCCCCGCGCTGCGAGCCAGAGAGCAGCGCCTGCAAAGTCGTGAGAGCCTCGGGCAGCGTGGGTCGCTTGCGCAGGCTGTTGTGGCGCAGAGGCTCTTCTGCCCGTCCCCCGCCTGCGCGAGGTCCTTGACCGCGCGCGCCGCAGTTTCAGGCCACCCCGCCGCCGCGTCTGCGAGCTTCGCCGCGTCGATGTCGGTCCAGTCCTCCTCCAACTCCTCCTCGCACCGGTCGGTGAGCTGCACCTCGGACCGGTTGGTGAGGCAGACGAGGAGGGTGATGCCAACGGCGTAGCCGTCCGTCTTGCTCGAGTAGGCGGCGCACATCAGCGCGGTCCAGCCGGTGCCGCTATGCAGGTTGACATCAGCGCCGTGCCGCAGCAGCAGCTCGACCACCCGCTCGTGGCCGTAGCGGGCGGCGCTTATCAGCAGCGTGAGGCCGCTCACCTCCCCTGTTTCGTACGTCGCGTCGACCCGCCCGCCTCGAGCCACGCCAGCACCGCCTCCTCGTCGCCTCGCTCCGCTGCTGCCACGACCTCGTCGGGGACTGCCACGACACCGCTCGACGCCCGCTCCGCCGCCACCGCTGGAGATAGCGTCTTCGCGACACTCTCGATCCAGCCGAGGAAGCGCCGCCGGAGAAAGTGCCACCTGCGCCTGCGCCGCCGGCTGCCGCCGCCTCCCTCGCCGCCGCCTCAAGGGCGCGCTCGCACTCGGCGTGGCCCTTCTCCTTGGCCCACTGCAGCGCCGTACGCCCGTCTGGGGTGCGCGCCGCCGTGTCTGCGCCCGCCCGCAGCAGGCCGAGCACGACGGTTGCGGTAAGCGGCGAACATCAGCGCGGTGCGACCGTTGCTGTCCTGCAGGTTGAGCCCGGCGCCGTGCAGCACCAGCAAGTCGATCACCCGCTTGTGGCCGAGGTCGGCGGCGAACATCAGCGCGGTCCAGCCGTCGTAGTCCTGCAAGTTGAGCTCCGCGCCGCGCCGCAGCAGCAGGTCGACCACCCGCTCGCGGCCGTTGTAGGCGGCGGCCATCAGCGCGGTCCAGCCGTCGCTGTCCTGCAGGTTGACCCCCGCGCCATGCCGCAGCAGTAGCTCGACCACCAGCTCCTGGCCGTAGCCGGCGGCGTCCATCAGCAGCGTGCGGCCGCTCACCGCGCCTATCTCGTACGTCGCGTTGACCCGCCCGCCGCCCTCGAGCCACGCCAGCACCGCCTCCTCGTCGCCTCGCCCAACCGCTGCCACGACCCCATTCGGAGACTGCCACGCCACCGCTCGACGCCCGCTTCGCCGCAGCCGGCGACAGATTACCCGGCCGCACCTCCGCACGCTCTCGCCGCCGCCCTCGAGCGCCACCGCGTACCGCCCGCTCTCAAAGCTCCGCACCACGCCCCCCTGCCCGTTCAACTCGGGGCGGGAAGAGAGCCCGCCGAGCAACGCGCCCGGCGGCTCCGGCAAGACTTTAGCCTTGGCCACCCTCCTTGCGGAGCAGGAGGAGATCCGCTCTCGGTCGGCAACGTGGCAGCTAGTCGATGGACTCGGTAGTTGTGACCCCCCTGCCTGAGTGAGGATGACAGGAGAGAGAGAGCTTTTGTGGTGTTGGTGTACGCAATAACGGGACAGGGTAGTTAGTCGTTCTCTCTAGCTCCCCTTCTAGCTCTTCCTCTTGGCATGAGCTGCGCCCTGTGTCCGACCCCTTTTG